TCTACCTTCGTCGCCGATGTTGCGTCAATCAAACCTCCAGATCAATGGTTTTAATAGGTTTGATTCTTTTACAAGGTATAAGCAAAACATTACATTCGTGCAATAGTTCTAGGTTCCAGCATTGAGATTATCAATCCACTTGAGCTGAATATTGCAGAGAAAAAACCTATTAACCTTGCTGAAATCGACTCATTTACCGTCAAAAGGAAATTATTCACCTCTGATAAATCCATTAAGAGCCGCACCAAGATTGCCACGTACTCTCTGTCCTTGGGTCGGGCTGGTATCCTTCGGTGACTGGCCGCATTTGACGTTTAGCTGACACCAAATTTGAAAACAAAGAACCCATTTTGCTCGACGCCCGGCATACCTTAGTTCGGTTATTGGCTCGGAACTTCTGCCGTGAGCTTTTCATCAAGGATTAGACTATATGCGCTCCGTGATTAGGTTAAAGTACGCTATACTTATGTTTTGTCGACTGCTGAAGTCTACTGAAAACCGTTGTGTTATATGGCGAAAGCCAAAAGCAATCAGGATTCAACCATATGTAGCCAAATCACCTGATAAACGCCTCGGGTATAAGAAACCGCGTTTTTCCACCATAATGGTGGACTATTTTGGACCATTTTACATTCCCATTCGAAAGAGCACTGAGAAAAGCTGGGATTTACTTGTTACTTGCCTCACCACCAGGGTTCTTTACCTCGAAAATGTGCCATCACTAGATACTAGCTAGTGTGTGATGGGTATCGAGCGTTTCATGGTGCGCCGAGCTACACCCAACACTTTGTGGTCGTATATCGAAACCAACTACGTTGGTGCAGAACAAAAATTTAGTGCCTGTATCAAAAACTAAAATCACATGGCTCCAAACTTCTTTGAACATAAAGGTATTGCCTGGAAGTTTAATCCATTCAGTGCACCACACCATGGCGGATCTTTCGTCTGATGTTTTTATCGCACCACATAAAAAAAACAATTTTCATTTGAAAACAAGAAAAATTTGCCTTTCTTAAGACTCAGCACAGTAACCGGCCATCCGTGTTTTTTTTCACGCAAAATCAGGTACCACAAACACTCATCGGAATAATTGTAAAAATATAGCATATTGAAGACCTTTCAGTCGCAATTCGAACGACTTTACACATTTGCAAAAAAAAATTGTTGAAAAAAAACAGGTCTGAAGTTTTTGAATTGTGGTCTAAATTTGAGCCAATACAGATTTAATAGTAATATAATTGTTAGTTTTAAACCTAATATACTTTATTAACTACTAATTAGTTTTACCTAATTAAAATTAGTTATCGGGAGTATCTTTAGCTTTTTTCTGGGTGAAAAAAAAATTGAGAATAAAATTTTTGTTAAAATTTTGCACTTTTTTTCAGAAAAAGTTTCAAAAAATTTGGAATTTTTTCGCAAAAAAATTTTTTTTGTACATTTTTTTTTAAATAAAAAAACTCATGTGAAAAATTGTAATAAAAGGTACTTAATTTAATTTACCCAAGTGTTAGTTTTTAAATTAGATTTTTTCATCGCACCGAAAACAAAAACTTTTATAATTCGGAAAAAAAAATTGTCTGTTTGTTAATAGCACATATCTGTAAGGCCACTGTTTCTAAAGATTTTTTGCTTTCAGACTAGTAAGAAAAAGCAAATAAGACAAAGAAAAAACATCGAATTTTGGTCAAAAAATTGGAGCATTTCTGACCATGGTGAAAAGAAGCGACTAAATTTTGCAAACATCGAAACATACCAAAATTTGGTTGCTAAATCAAAACATAACGAATTTTCTTTCAGAAAGTCGAAAGAGACCGGAATTTGACGAAACAGCGGAAACACAAATCGAGGACCTCAACCGGGTTCTAACTTAATTTTTTTTTTCAGAATTGACGTGTTTTTTTTTCAAATCAACGAATTAATTTTTTAACGTCTCTGCGTAGTTAAAATAACTAAAACTTTTTAAAAATCAGATATGGAACGCGATATCTTTTGTGCTTTTGACGGGTAAATTGAGATTTAATCCGGTTATAAGTCGCTCCCAATTGAAATGAGGTGTGCTATTTGATCTACCTGGTACTTAGCTAGTACTTTCCTATGCTTCTCCGGAACTGAAAAAACGGAGCTATTTTCTCGATCATTTTTGCAATGTCTTGCAAAAAAGGCCGACACTTTGCGCACAGACACGACAGTATTAGGAATCTGCTTGCGGAAAAACTCCAAAAGGTATGCCAGGATGTGTGCATTGAACCCCAACTACAGCCACATACCGGTGAATCTTGCAACAGCAAACAGATCATGATCTGTACGTTCTGACGCTCTGCACGTTCTGTGCGTCTCGTTGTCAAGGCAAGGTATTATTGGGCTACAAGTGTAGTTAATTCCTTTGAAGCGGAAGTGCCTAGAAACTACAATGAAAGAGAGATAGAGATGAAAACGCGGTTTTCGAACTCCTCTTGTTTTTTTCAGCAGAAGGAGCCGGCAATGAAGCCGAGAACTTTTTAAAGCGACCAGCGTCCCTGGAACTCAGAAAGCGACCAGCGTCCCTGGAACTCAGGAAAACTGGCGTTATTTCTTAAACTTTTTTGTTATCTCCTTTTAGAGTGTTTTTTTTATTAACAAAAATACTAATTGATTTGATTAATTTTACGATCCTATTTCTATCATCGATGGCGCTCTTTCTTGTTTTGATATAAATTAATTTATTTTGTTTTTTTTTGTGAATCAATATACTTTTTCCAAAAAAAAACAGTTTGCTATCACTTTTTACATAAATTTACAAATTAATCAATACGTTTTAATTTTTTAGTTAATTTGCTAGCCCAGAGAGAATTGAATGAAGTTTCTCAAGCTAAATCAACTTGATTGTGGCTAACTTGGCTTTCTAAACGGAGGTGGAAGTGTTCAATGAAAACTTGTTTTGTGTCATTGATTCACACTTTATTTTTTTTCCTTATGATATTCCGTCTCTTGAGGAAAAAGAAACAAGTAAGAGCTGATTAAAACTGATGTTTTCCATACAAAGAGATCTTGGGATTGTTTTAATTTGTGCGTCGGTTAAGGCAATTTTTTTAAAAAAAACTGTACATAGCAAGTGAATGTTTGAAATTTGAAAGTTCTACGATTGAGTTTGTTTTTGGAGTGGCTAGCAAAACTTTTGATTTTTGATCTGTAAAATAGGTTGTTGGATGCTTTGATGTGAAAAATAACTTTATTCTGTCATTGTGTGTACAAAGTTTTTCAAAATTAGAGGTCGGTTTGTAAATAAAGTCCTGATTTAACCGAGAATAAGTTCTTTTCTTATTGTAGGAGTGTTACTCACAGCATTTCAAACTTGCCTGCTTACAGTGATTGTCGAATATGCCTGAGTTCTAGAAATTCCTCAGATGCTTGCATCACACCACGCTCAAAAAACGACACCTACTTTTAAAAAAAGTTATATATTTACTAAAGATATGGTCGGATAATTCTGTGCTTTTTGCACAGCAACCGGCTATCCTTGTTATAGTTTAAAAGGGCCTAAAAAGAGTTCACAGTGACTTTTTCAGTAATTTTTTTTGAAACCTGCCATCTTGTTAAAAATTGCAAGTTTATAAAACATTTGTCACAGCAATTTTCATATCAATTGCAATAGCAGTTCAAATGACAGCTGAAAATAAAAGTAACGGAGGCCTGGAAAAAATTGTGAGACGATTTTCAGACTTTTCAAAATCCAGGGTCGAGATTTTAGCGTATTCGACGTATTCTCGGGCAAAATTGGCTATGTTTAAAACTCCTCAACCAAAATTCAAACGTTTCTGAAAAAGATTTGTTGACGTTTTATTTCACTTAACTTTTCGCCAATTTTTTCCAATGTCTCGAATGTCTTATTCTTTTTTCAAATAGAAAAGGGTGCACTTGATTTATGCTTCATCAGGACCGACGAAAACTAAACATAGTTCAAATGTTTCAATCGAAAAAAATGAGCCAAGTTTTTTGAAAACTCGGATGGAACTCAAAAATCAGGCAAGTTCTTTCTTATAACAAAAAATGGAAGGTTTGATTGATTGATACATCGTTATAGAGTCCTTGTATTTTCGATTGGAGCAAAATTCCAATTGTTTGGGTACTAAAACGAAATAAGCGTGAAAGGTCATTTTGATTAAGACACAATTCATTTTTTCCATATCATAGAAAAAAAAAATTTTTTCAATGATTAATTTTTCAATTTTGATAATTAATTTTTGGAGCATATTTTAGTGTCCTGCTTGTGCCAAAAATTACAAGGTTTCAAAAAGATTTGCGAAAAAGCTCTAATTCAAAAATTGCAATAAAAATAACAACTTTAAAATTTTTTAACAACGGCTATTTTTGATACTGCGGGATCCATTAGATCTCAAAATTTTAATAAAATGAGCATGAAATTGATGTTGCGATTTCTGCAACGACTAAATGTTTGAGCAGATTTTTTGCTCAATTTTCTGTTTGAACTAGTTAATTGCTTAGAATATTTTGATTTAGAAAATTAGTCATTGTTTCAGCTATTTTTCAACTTCCTCGCCCAAAATCTAGCTTGGTTTGTTTTTGCACTCGACTGAATTTGAATTCTCGACCGAGCAATTTTGGTAGCACAAAAGCAGCTTCTCGATTTTGAAAATCAAAACATGTGTAGAGTTCCAGGAATTATGTACACGTCGAGCTCGGCTTCATCAGAGGTTAACAGCGCATTCCTAAGACAAAACCTAAAATTAACCGTACCCATTTCTCGATAAAATGAAAAAGTAAGGCGGTAAAAAAGATAAATCTTGTCAATATCCGTTATCAACTTTTCCTCAAACTAAAATTGTCACAAAAATCCATTAAAGCCCACAGCTTTTTACTAAATGAAAAACTTATCTTCAAATGCCAACTTAAGTTGAAGCAAAAAGAAGATAAAGAAAGAACTTTTAATTTTTTTTAAATCTAAAAAGCCAAAAAATTAAGTACAAATACATTAATTTCTAATTCAATATATTTTTGTTGAATATAAACTATATAAATGAATATATACAGCTAGATGGAAACTCAAACATATTCAAATGAAATTAGTGAACAGTTTGTTTGATGTTTTTCCGACCCTGAGGAACCGTTGAGGGTCGTCGCTTAAACTCTCGGAAACAGTCGATCGGTCTTGGGGCGCGGATGATTCATGAAGCGCGTTATTATTAACCAATAACTGATCACCATCAACTATATTATTGTAATTTGGAGGTGCATTTCCTAAAAATTTGTGGTTCCAAGAATTCGAATCATATTTCGGAATGTTCACGCTTTCGTGCCAGCTCGGAGGCGGTTGTGTCTCGTTTTTTGGTCGGAATTTTCTGCTCGGTACTTTAAAAGGACTCTCATTTTCGCAGTTATTAACTTGAATAAACCCGCAGTTATTTGTCGGTTTCAAAAAAGGGGAGCAGCGATCCGACTCAAAGTCATTACTCGCAAGATTTGCGAAACCCTTTTGTTTCGGCGGGATGTTCGGATTTGTGCCCAAATCGTTCCTAGAAACGTATCCCAAAACATTACCCATTGGGCTTAGCTCGGCGTTGTAGTTTTTTGAATTCGCGTACGAAGATGATTCGCATTTTTTTGAATCGTTCACAGAAACTTTGTTCCACCACCAGTGGACCATGTAAAATGCAACTTCAAACGCCTCGACTAGAGAAATAATACTGAGACCAACCCATAGTCCCAAACAACCTCCAATTCCGCTGAGAAAAGTCTCAATCGACAGCTGTTTTTCTTCGTAAATTTCCTCCAGCGAGAGATCGTCGAAATAGATCTCGAGTTTGACGAAGTTCTCGCGAACCTCTTTGAGTCCTTGGAGGCCTGCGTATGTCGAGAACTTGTATTCCACGAGGTTGTTTCGGATATCGGAAGTGAACTCTTTGATCTTTCGACCTGTTTCGCGGTACAGCATACGCACAAAATGCCACAAATAAGACATCTGAAACATTCTTAGCTTCTTAAATATTTTTTTAAACAAGTTTTTGGATCAACTCTAATCTGTTATTAATAATGCAATTACTTTAGTTAGTACTGCATGAAAAATATTCGTTCAAAATTAAATATTCGTTTTTAATTGCAGGAAATTAAGTTCCAATTTATTATCGTCTCCCTAAAAAGGGGGCTGTTAACTTGGTTGTTCATCAGATTTTTCGGCTCATCAGACTCGTTAGAATGGTGCATATATTCAAAACAGTCCCATAAAAAACAGTCCCATACAAAACAGTCCCGTATAAAAGAGTCCGAAACATCAAAAAAAGGTTCTAAAAAACAGTCCCATACAAAACAGTTTAAAACCATTTGAATTTCTTGACTTTGATCTTTTGGCGCCGACAGAATTGATCTGCGCTTTGAAAACTCAAACATGGTTTACAGACTCATCGGAATTAATCTTTTTTGGTACATCCTCTTTTGCTACTGCATCTAAGATTGGGTTTAGATACAGTACTTATCAAGGTTATTGCGTGAAATCGTAGGATGGAGTATTTTTATTTGATTTATTTGGGACAGGAAGGATGGAAGGTATGGGAGAGGATATTAACTTGATCCCAATTCTGGAATATATTTTTTGACTTAATTTTATTTTATTGTGAGACCTATATGAGCAATTTCATTGTTACACTAACCCCCCCCCCCCCCCCCCGAAAAAAAAGCCAAATTTGAGCAGTAAAATCAACATGCAAAATGTTAAAACATGATTGACTGACTGAAAAAGATTTTTTTTTGGGGGGGGGGGGGGGAGAGATTTTCTAGCTATCTGATCAAGTTTCTATAAAACGCTCCGAAATATATCCTATCAAAAATCTACCAAATATACAAATAACTTCAGTTAAGGCACCAATTGAATTCTTGAATTCTAAAAGCGCTGTCAAGTTTTAAAAACTCGAATTGCACAAAACAGTTTCCAAATTCTCATTGTAAAACGATCAAATGAGAAGTTTTCAACGTTTTAAAGCTGGGAGAACAAAAAATTATTGTAATTATTTACTATTGTTCTAGATGTGGATATATGTTCTTACTAGATACCTTTGGGACAGTAAAGAGTTATTGTTACAGAGTTCCCAAGAAAGTACGGAGTGCAAAACTAACCTCGGGCCATTTAGCCGAAGAGAGAGTCGTCTGATACTTGTACTCTTCGCATGGTACTTTACAGTTGCACTGCAGTTTACCTGTGCTGTAATCAACTAACGCCTCTTCTTGGCAAATCTTCTGCGTCACATTTATAATTGTACAAAAATCTTCATCTCTTGTGTTATTTTTAGCCAATATCAACGAACTCAAACATCCACACTTGTTGAAAATGTACTCGGCGAAACAGTATTTATTACACGACTTGGTCGAATAATCGAACTCCAAAGCCGAATCGCTTTTTACTGACTCGGGCCAGACGTTCTCGGTACAGTCACCGTATGGAGAACCGAGACGAGTGAATTTCTTCTCGTGGATCCGAATTGATGTTGCGGTGCCTGGCGATACTGAGAGTCCGTCGTCTTCGGGAAACGGTTTGATGTTTCGCGAGTGGATCGAGACCCGAACTCCAGAAGCCGGTGATAGTAGCCCGACGTAGTCATCTTGGTCGACAAAAAGCGCGAGTTTCAAACCATATTGGGAACCCTCGCGAACTGTGGTTTTGGCGGGTTTTTTGATGTGATTGAAAGTAAAACAGTTTCCGTACACGTCATTTTGCCACGTATAAAAGTCTTCAACATCGCAAACAAGAGAATCGAACGAGCACTGAGTAATGAAGTCTTCAATTTGTTGGCCGTTATTCCGGACGTTTTCGGGTCCGGTTATTCCGGCCGCCTGTAAATCGGAATAGTCTTCCCGACTTCCTTTTTTGTAAGCTTCGAACCAGGGTCGCGCCTAAAAACGTCAGCCTAGTAAATTTCATATTTGTTGTTCCGATCAATTAAAATGTGAGATATTTTGTATTCGGATGTCTTTTAGTTTTTTTTCTTTTGTTTTCCACGCAAAATCAGGTGCCACAAAGAATCATCAGCATGGGTCGAATTTTAAATCATATTAAAACCCTTTCAGAAAGTTAACGACATTTTACCTGGAAAAAAACAACAAACAGAAAGAAATGGTTTGGATTTTTACGTCTTCTTTCTGGCGGAGTCCGTCGCAGTTCGCCTCATCGGAGCCGTCGGGACAGTCCACCACGCCATTGCACCTCAATTTACCATGCACGCAGTAGCCGCTTGCATTTGCACACTCAAACCGAAGGTCATCCAAGGTCTCACCTGAAACAAGAAGCCTCGCATCTATTGTTACGGTGTTCAGAAACGATTCATTTGGGTCACCCATCAACCGAAGCTACAAAGAGTTTATGATGGTCTAAAAAAGCTCTTTATCTGATAGAAACTAGTTTCAAAGCGTTGACACACGAAAATATAGTGCAGAAAACCCATAAAAGCAATAGCTAAAAAATGCTATGAAGACTTTGCAAGAACTAAATAAAATTAGTCCATTAAACTGGAAATGATTGTGACCCTTTATTTAATGACATGAAAACTTTCTGCGAAATGAGCCACAAATCTTAAAATCAAAATAGTTTTTTCATTGTACTTAGCTGACTCTGGGTTTTTAAAGGCGTTTTTAGGCACAAGATTAAACAGTTTTAGGCACTAGAAACTCAAAACTAAAAAAGATAAGTGTTTAAAAAATATGGTACAGAAAATCAACTCAGGTTTCTGAAAATTGACAATAATAAAAGACTGCTTTAACAAATCAAAGACTCCAATTTGAAAATCGATTTTTTGAAGGAAATTAACTGTTTTCTTTTGCCAGCTAAAACATTTGGCTCCCACTAGTGAAAAAACTTGAAATTTTTATACCCGCAGTTTTCATTTAATCCGAATAAAATTTGTTAAATTTACATTATGGTATCAAAATTTGGATATCAAAAGTGAAAATCAAAAAAGCAAAATTGGTAACAAAATCATTTTGAACAGATTTGATGTACAATCTGTAACTAAGCAGAAGACTGTTGCTATCTAACTATTTTCTGGTATAATTGAATACGCCACAAATTCGAATAATTTTTGCCAAAAATTCACTATAGCTTTTAAAAGCAAAGTTTAAATCAATGACAATTCAAATAACGTTATAGAAGCTACATTTTTCGGACCTTCTTTTCAAACAATTTTCTTTTTCTTTAATTTATATCAGCCAGATTTTTCTCTGTATTAGAGTAAATTTAATACTGCATAAGTCACGGTGAACCAAATTAAATGACGAAAGTACAAAATTTTCAGCTGTACTTCCAGACGTCAAAATTCAATTATAATCTGTCAAAATTGTCGTCTCTAAATCGAAATTTTTTTCTTGGAAAATCTCTTCAATTAATGTAATTTAAACTACTCCATAGAAAACAAAATGCAATCCGAATATTCAAGGTTTCACCCTGATACAAGCAGTCTTGATGTTGTTTGTCATCAACTCTAAATCTGCAAGAATATGATTATGATCACTAAGAACAGATGTCACAAAAAAGCTAGTCAACATTATCACACTGCGAAAAAATTCAAGTCATATTATTTCACATTGCAGAAAATGCTAGTCGTAGAGTTATTAGACAGTTTTTTGGTGGTGCCAAAGGCTAGTTTCACAAAAATGAATTGTATTGATTGCGTTTTTGTCAACACGGGTTTGTTTGAAAAAAAAAGTAATTTTGTTGATGCAAGTCAGGCAGATATTAACAACGCTTATTTTTGATTTCATGTTTTGACTAATAAGGTTAAAGATTAGGAACAATTGTTTCAGCCAGTTAGTTAAAGTTATTTTAGATGCCAGCCAATATTTGGTTAGTGTTCGCATAAGGAGAAAATGCTAGCCACACAATTTCACGCAAAGTAAAAAATAAAAAATGCAGCCAATAATTTCACGCTGCAAAAAATGCTAGTCGTAGAACTATCAGACAATTTTTTTTGGACGTGTCAAAAACTTGTTTTACAAGCATGAAACTGTATTACTTGCGTTTTTTGTCAACCGGAGAATTTATGGAAAAAAAACGAATTTGGTTCATGTAAGTTTGGCAGATACTAATAACGCTTACCCTTGATTTAAAGTTTTGATTAATAGGGTTACTAGTTTAGCATAATTATCTCAGCCAATTAATTAAACTTGTGTTTTATGCTAGAAATCGTGATTTGTGAAATTTTCCGCGTTTTTAAGCTATTTTCCGAAAAAAAAGTCAAAAAAATGATCCAAACCAAAAAAATTACCAAAGTTAACATGTGACAAGGAAAAACCATTTAAACATCTTTTTTAATTAGTTATGTAGTTGGAGCAGAAATCTAGTAAGCTTAAACCTCGCCAACGAATTTTTTCGACTGAGCCAGGCTTAAGTAATCAGTGCTTATTGATTGTATGGTTTACTTCATGAAATTTCAATCGGCTATCAATAGTATCAGTAGATTCGATGTTCTCGCGTCATGTAGTTTTATCACATTGACCGGCCAGACTTTATTACTTTGTTGTCAGGGAGCTTACAACTGCGGTATCTACCTAACAATCTCACTCCTTGTGGAATCTTTTAAAAAATTGCAACCCCTATAAATAAAAGCAATAAATTAGGACTAAAGCGTTTTTTTTACAATTTGGATTTTGCAGCTTTCTGATTGGTCAAAATTTGTTTAACTTAATCAAGTTGACAATTGTTTTCTTTCGTCCTAAGTAGATCCCAACAGCAATAAAGCTCTCGAACAGTCAGTTTTGATTTCAATTTTGAAGATCCAGACAACCCTGAGACATGCAAGCTTTTGTAAGCTATATTTTTCCAAATTGAGCCAGTCGCTTGTTTTATTTATTTTTTTTCTGTCCCATTTTTTTTTTTGCTAATGGTTACAATATTGATAGAGAAAATGTTGTGAGATCGAAAGAGTCAGGGCGCTATAAATCGACGGGTTTCTATCTATTTTGATGTTTGCACAGGTTCCTTAATATAACGATTATGATTTATTTACAAACGAATCTTCTGAGATCGACCTGAATCCGAATGATATCCAGAGTGACTAGTGTAACCATGTATGCCGAACAGCTTACAATTGAAGAAATAAAAAAAACTATTTCCAAACAATTTGAACAATTGACGTAAGAAAATCAAAAAACATTTATTCACAGGACTGCTTTGCTCAGGTTCTTGAGAGGACAAATAAATACACAATATGATGCTACAGTTTAATTTGTTTACAAGACGGTTCAAGCACTTCAAATCAAAGTTAATTGGTTGCTTCAAAGCTATCAAAATAGAAAAAAGAAGTGTTTCCTGTTTGTTTTATTTTGTAATCTTGTGCTTTGGTCAGTTTGAGATACACTTTGCTAACATCTGTTGATAGGACATAACTAAAGTTCACATTCACATGACCAGAAAATGAAGCTGCTTTGATAAAATTGTAAGGGTGAAAAAAAAACATTTTTTCTAGGATCATCCTGAAATACCCTAAGTTTTTACCCATTGAAATCACTTCATCAAATAAACTGCACCATTCAGGACACCATGTTTTTGGGTTTTATTTTTTTACGAAGCATGAAGGCTTTATTTCAAATAAAAAATAGCAAATACCTTTTACTTATTAAAAAAAATCTTTTTTTTTTCAATCTAATAATCTGTTGTAAATGCAAAGCTAAGATTTCAGTGTGTAAGTGCGGGACAGATTTTCCAGACCAGCTTTTTTTTGGCTTCAGTAAAAAAAAATTCGAAACATTTCAATTCCATGATACGGAAAAAGAGCCTAACATGTTAATTTTTAATAACTTCGGTCGAGATTTGATCCTGGTCGTCTGGCTTGTGGAACTACAACTTTTACGCTGAACTGTGGACCGAAAAGCATCACACAATCAAAAGTTTCCAAAAAATTAGTACTTTTATTCTTTTTTACCCACTTTTACCAGAAAAAAAAATATTTCTCCTAGGGATTCATTTTTACGGGCAATTTTCAACTATGTCTTTTAGTTTGGGAATTCAATCACAATGAAACAAAAAAAATCGGGTTCGGTAACAGCAATACATTTTGAAAAGATGTGCGAAAGCTGTCAATTTCAGATGAGATAGTTCGCTAGCGTCAGCTGGACTACAATTAGTATCAAATTTATCACAACATTGTGTGGAACAAAAAAAAATTTTCCCCCGAGTTTTCGTCCCGATTTTTGATGAAAAGTTGGATTATTTCTGCTAGGGCGGTTTCTCCTCAGACAAACTTCGACTTTTTAACTAGCAATTTTTTTGTTTTTTTTCATCATTCAAAAAATACTGTTGACCTGAGCTCAATTTTAAAAATATGTTTTGCTGATTATTTTGTAAAGTTATGGGGGTTTTAAAAAAAACAATTTCACCATTTGGGATAGCTAACGCGTGATATATTCTGTGCAAAATGAATTAAAGCATGCTATTTGGTCTATTGGTCTAATTACTGCTTCGCTATCTGGAAAACATATCACCTGGTTTTTTACATACATATGTAAAATTAAATGATTTTCAGTAAAGTTTCATATAAAATAATAAGTAATTTATTTCCCACACAAAAGTTTTGCAAATTGCATCCATTTTATTACGAGGCCAAACTGTGCACTGGATAGGAGCACAATTTTCTGTCTGTTTGTTCCTGGATTCCAGAAACAAGTCTTTAAATTTGTTCCAAAAGGTAAGTGGATTCCACTAACAAAATTTCAGTGGATTCCGCGTACAAATTGCTGTAACGTAAATTTTGTCGGCACATTTGTTTTGTTGCGGACTCCGCAACAAGCCAATTTAGCTAGTTGTTCTGGATTCCGCAACTGTAAGTGGATTCAACAAAATGTAAGTGGAATCCGCAAACAAAATGCGGATTCCACTTACAATTTGAGGATTCCACTTACAATTTGCGGATTCCACTTACAATTTGCGGATTCCGCCAACAGTTGCGGATTCCGCAACAGCTCAATTTAACTATACACATGACTTATAATTTTATGTGGATTCCACAAACTGTTCTGGATTCCGCATATACGGTCGCGGACTCCGCAAATTCGCCTGTTTTTGGAGCAATTTTGAGCGGTATATTGTTTTAGGTATTTGTTTCTGGAATCGAAAACAGCATAAAACATCAAAGAAAAGTAGCAATGTTGCGAATTCTGCGACAAATATGATTTTGGCCTGTTGCGGATTCCGCTTACAATGCAGAGAATGCACAGTTTGGCCTCGTAATGTTGTTTAAAACGAAACACTGCACAATAGACCTTGAAATGCAGTCGGAACCTTCTA